TCTTCCACCTTCCTAGAAGACTGGTCGAAATTCAAATTAATATCAAACACCCGCCAAACCCCTAACCTTAAATGCTGCCCATAAGAAATTTGAGATATTGGGACACATCAAACATGAGGGGTGGGAAAAAGTTGTCTAAAAATTGTATGAAGGGATTGAACGCAATTGGTTGTTGAAGTTAACAGGCAGTCAGATGTTTCGTACATCTCAGTCCTACGACCTCTATATTGTCTGCCCGAGGGATGGCTCTCGTATTGAGGGCCAACACCAGGAGGGAGGCTTCCAATGGGGGGAGCTTATATAAGTGGTATATGCAGGGTATATGGACCCTGGACTACAGTCATGGTATGTTCCTTGCAGGTCTTCCCTAAACACCCCTCAAAAGCCTAAACCCTATTCTAAAATTTATATGTATATACAAATGTATACATATATATATGTATATATGTACGTACGTACGTACGTACGTACGTAGGTAGGTAGGTAGGTAGGTAGGTAGGTAGGTAGGTAGCTAGGTAGCTAGGTAGCTAGGTAGCTAGGTAGGTAGGTAGGTAGGTAGGTATGTATGTATGTATTCCTTAACGGTCCCCCAACCCCCCCTAAGTCGGCTAGTATTGTTATAATTCGGTGATAAGTACAGCTAGAAGTACGTTATAAAGACCTAACGCTTAATCCCGCCATTATCCACATATGCCCAAGTTTCCATGTCATTCTCCATCCCATTATGATTATTACCGGGATGAACCCCACTTTGCATTGGTGCATTTGATTTTCCATGATGATGATTACAACCGTGCTTTAGAGTACCTTGAACCTCCAAGTAGCATCTCAAAGGTGGATCTAGAACTTTATAGCCAAGCACCAGGCAATCCTGCCAACGAAAGGTCGAGTGTCTGCACTTAAAAAGCAACAAGGAACTGAGCTCGCGGATCTTGGAAGAGAGCGGACACCAAGTTCTCCAACAAAATTCTTCAGACTTGGACAAAAAAACGCAACTAGCTTCTGCGCCTACTGCCAACCGTGGCTCTCTTTCAGTAAAATGGGGTTCAGGCCTGCTTTTGCAGACTGCAGTAAATGGACAATTCCTGGCTGTACAGGGAACTTTGAAAAACAAAGCGGCTTTGAAACACATAGAAACTACCTCCACCTCAAACAAACATGGAAGCTGAGATGGTACAATTGTTCTAAGGCCAGTGGGTTTAGGGTTTAGGGTATCTTTGCAGAATCTTTTTGGGGCTTCCAACGTTTGGTGGGCGGAGTGCTAAGCTAGCATGCCAAGGGCACTTCCCAAAAGATCCAGTTCTGGAACAAGCTCTCAGTGCCACAAGGCGAGGGATACAAACCGCGCAGATACCTGGACCCATGTAGGGCTTCCAATGTTGGGAGTTCAATTAGGGGGTTGGAATAATAAGGTTAATAGTTATCCCATCCTTCCCAACCCCACCCCCCCTCCCAGTTAGAAAAATGCCACTTTATGGGTTTTATGAATAAGGGGGAGTGCTTATTCAGCCTGGGTGCGGGGGAGTTAGCGTTAGGTACGGGGGACCCCTGTTTTTGAAAACTTTTATCTCTGCACCCCAACAAACCAACTCATACGGGTTAACGGATTAAGGTGGTGTACGGCATTCAAATATTCCACCAAACCCTAAAGACACAGTTTAGAGGTTTAGGGTTTAAGGTCTGGAGCCTTTAGCCATGATAATTCTTTCCAGCAGTGGCCCAGCCACCCATCCCCAAGCAAGGCGCTCAGCATGCCCATCATCATGTTGCAGAAGATGCCCATCAGGGTAGCTTGGTGGACAAATGGTATCTTGCGCAGGCCATGCAGCACCTAGAATATCTACTCCCAACGATTTTCTAATGTGGTTTAGGGTTTAGGGCTAACGGAACAGAAAATAAAAACTACTATCTGGGGCTTAAGGTTTAGGACAAGATAGCTGCAACTATTTTTTGAGACCCTCGATGCCGCTGTATTTACCCGTCTTCCGTCACCCCGTCATAATCCCTCTAGCCCCTAGGAGGCAGCCTGCAAAAACTAAACATCCTGCATGACCCTGAGTCCCTTACACATTGGAAAGTGTGGTATTCTACTTCGCTAAACCCTAAACCCTTCTGAAGGTTTTAACCCGGAGCGTTGGGATGAGCTGATCTAGAACCCGGAAACCGCAAATGTGGTAAACGTTTCTGCGTTTTAGGTTTAGGGAAATTTCTAGGAACCCTAGAAAGGGGATCTACTTTCTAGATTGTTTCAGGGGTCTGGTTAATATCAACTGTACCGCTCTAAGCCCCAACCCCAAACCCTGAACGGCAAACCATGGTAAACCTTGTGGGTTTAGGGTAAACCGTAAACCTCGCGTTTGTAAACGGATGCCCTACCGAATCCTAGGTTGAGGGTAAACCTCAAACCATGTGCTAACACCTCGAGCCAGGCACGGGAGCAGGTACGAACCTCCCCGGCTGACCAAGCCTTCTTGGAGGTTAATACTGTTGATGGAGGAAATCTTGTACCACCTAGGGGCCCTAAACTACTGTAGTTCCTAGGACTTTAAAAACTTTAGGTGGTGCAAATTTTCCTCCATCAACAATAGTTTCAACGGTTTTTTGGCAGCCCTGAGGTCCAGGCAGAAATATTGGGGCTGTACAGGGTTGAGGGGGGTTCTCATCATGTGATAATTTGGGGGGCCTAATTTGGGGGGTTGGGGCCCAAATCCTCTTATTGGCTTACAAGGCTTCAAGATTTTGGTGGTTTCCGGCTTTGGACTTAGGTCTTAGAATAAACCCTAAACCCTAAACCCTAAACCTTAACCGTTTAGAATGTTGCAGTCAACCTTTTGGGCTGGGCTTCGGGTGTTGGTGTTTAGGAAGTTTAGGATTTTCCGCGCAGGAGCGCAATTTTCATCAATATTTCCAGGATGTTCCGCATGGGAATGCGATTTTGAACGAAAAACAAGTAAATGTTGAAGATGCTCCGCACGGGAGCGCGAATTTCTCAAAATTTCCAGGATGCTCCACACGGGGGCGCGAGTTTATTCAAAATTTTCAGGATGCTCCGCACGGCAGCGAGATTTTGAACGAAGAAGTGGGCCAATCTGGTTCGCAAAGTATGTAGACTTATAGCCAATATAAGCCATGCAATAGTGCCAGCCATCCCCAATTATGAGCCTCCTCACAAAGTGACATGGCTCTAAACCATGAGCATGCTGGTTTAGGGCTTAGGGTTCTGAGGTCCCCCTGACCCTCCAAATGCCAAGCCTTCTTCGCAGAAGTCCCCAAGAATTCTCGATGTCCTGGCTGAGCGCAATCCTCAGATGCAATGTGCCACACTCCGGGCTTGCTGATATTATCTAGTAATGGCAATAATAGTATTAATTACTAATAATAATAGTAGTAACAATAATCGTAATAATAATAATGGTAATAAAAGGCATCGTACTTTGTCCATTGCAAGGAAATCAGCTGAGTTGTCTGGGGCCTCGTCAGGAAAATGCAGACGCCTTTCAGGTGAGAATTGTACAACCCGAGGATCCGAAAAGCCCATTGGTTCGAGAAACCCAGAAAACCCTAAACCCGCATGTAAGCCATCGTCTAAACTCCTCCCTAACCCTACACCTTCAACCCCAAACTCCTAAACCCTAAACCCCAAACCTTGGGTACTGCCCCCTCCCCGTAGCAGTCTATATTAGGGGTCCTATTATCCATAGTACAACTATTATCCAACTGCTACTGAGGGGGGGCAGTACTAAACCCAAACCCCTAAACCAAAACCTAACCCTCATGTGCCTAGAGGCTGCCTGCTTAGCGTAGATTTTGCGCTCTCCCAATTGCTGCAGCCTATCGGAGTGAATTCCTGGGTTGCTCTTAAGGAACTTGCATTAAGTTACTATAATGGGTATATAGGTTTAGGGTCTAGGATTTAAGGGTTTAAGGGTTTAGGGTGTAGGGTCTAGGATTTAGGGTTACTATAATGGGTGTATAATATGGTAACTAATAAGCTTTCCGTAATACATGAACTTAAATGGTAGTTTCCCAAAATAAGGGGACCCCAAAATACTCCAATCCTTATTATGGGGACCTTCAAAAGGGTACCGATACTTTTGGGAAACCCCCGAGTTCCTTAGCAGCGGCCCAGATTCGCCACGTCCTTCGTCGCTCTCAGGCCTGGTGAGACTGGCTCAGAAGTTGTTTTCTGAGGGGGGTTCCCAAAATGATGCGTCTCTTTTTGGGTGTCCCTTTAAGAACAAACAGCTATAGCCGTTTGGGGGCTATATATATTGAGGTCCGAAAATATAGTAAAACTACTATATGGAGCTTCCTTTTTTTAGGGGGGGGGCCTCCTACAAGTAGGATTATTCACATTCGGGCCTCTAAGTAAGGGTGTAAGACTAGGCAAGATGGGAGCTTACAGAATCAAATTAAATGAGGGCTTTGGGGGAGATCATGCCCAAGCTATGTACTTGAAGGGTCAGGGGGACTTAGTAAATTGGTTTAGAACGGGGTTAGCTGGGGTTAGTATGTGGCTTTTAGGGGTTATAAATATACTCACTACGTCACCCTGATCCCTGTAAGGAATGCGGGCAGATAGTAACCTTAGCATTTATCCAGCTGCTTCTCACGATGCCGGGCTCGTTTGGAGGGGTTGGGGAAAAGGGAACCTGGACGGCCCAATGCCCTGTAGAAAAGACCTTCCGTGATACAAGAATCGGTATGATCAAAGGTATATTCCTTAATTAAGGGGTTCTTTCCTTGTAAACCACTACATAAGCCAGCTTTCATTGCATTTTCCATGTTTTCTCCCTTCTTGGTTATGAGAGTCCACAATAAAAGGGGATTGGGTCATACACCTTGAAACCTACATAATATGAACCCTGTACATCCTAATCTATCCATACATACACTCATAGAACCTATAGTGCTTCATCCAAGCTGAAAATTTGACCCTAAACCCTGAAGCCTTTTTGAGACCTAAATCCTAAACTCCCAAACCCTCCTCGGGAAGCGGCCTGATCCGCCACTCAAAGGTTGCCAGTGATCTTGGATGCATGTAGGACACGTGTTCCGTCAGCCTAGGCTCTGGGGGATTTAGTGTTGAGGGTTTCAGGATTTAGGGGTTTACTGTTCATGGCTTTAGGGTTGGGGTGTAGGCCTTTAGCTTTGTTCCGGTAACACTCAAACAAATGCGCAAGTATGTTTTTCTGAATAACATCCCAATGTGGAACCAGCAACATCTCAACAGTCACAGGGCTTTCTGGCAGAACTTGTTGGAGAACAGTCCAGTCTTCCAGGATCTCCGTCAAGAGAAGACCACAGATTGCGCAGCTGGCTGACAAGCCAAATCCAGGGGTTTGAGGGTGATTGAAAGGTAAGAATCCATATGCAATGGCCCTGGCAGTCACCAGCGCCACAATGATGATAAAACGGAAGTAGCCTGCGTGGACTTTCACCTCATCGTGAAGCTTCACCCAGCTGCTGACGCCAAACAAACGTGAAGCCATGCTAAGGCCGCACGTAGCGCGCATGGCTTTGAAAAGCACAAATCGAATCCAGCCTAAGCGAAGGAATATGTTCATGACGTACGAAGAAACAGCAACTCCAATCCATCCGAAGTCGTTGCTTCGTATCCTTGGGCTGACTTCAGATTGCCTAGAGGGATTACAGATATAAGTATATAAGTATACAGGGGTATTTAATGGAAACCAAAGTGGAAACTACTACTTTCTTTTGAGTTTACGGAGATATTGAATGAATTCAATTTTCTTTCTCACGGTCACATACTCATCTAGCCCAGCTCACCTGCGCCAAGCTTTTATATGGAGACAGCTACAGAAAAGCGCTTAAACCGCAAAAGAGGTGGCCTCCCAGCCGGGACATGGTGATTGCTGTCGGTATGGTGGCGAATGGACTCTCGTGTAACTGTTCATTGAACACCAAAACCATTGGGGTTACACTGGGATAATGGAAAAGAAAAGGAGACTACTCTCTGACAATAGGGTATATAGTAGAATATAGGGTATTATAGGAATAATGGAAAATAAAATGAAAACTGCTATAGTAATAAGGGTTACATATTGGGATGTCTTACAATGGGTCATATATTGGGTTTTCTTTTAGTGGGCTATATATTGGGATTTCATACAATGGGGTATATATTAGGATTTAAATCCTAAACCCTTAACCCTAGACACCTAAACCCTAACCCCTGAAACCCGAAACCCTAAACCACAAACCCTGAAACCCCTACATATTGGGATTTCAATGTATTAGATAACTTGCCCGCCACCTCGGGTTACAGCTGCGTGGCGACGTACCTTGCGATGCCCTTTCTGCGCAAGTAATGCGCTGCGTTCTCTCTTTTAGGGTTTCGTGTGGGATGTCCATCCCAAGGTCAAAAACACGAGAAGCCGGAGACGGTTATTCCCCCCCCAAAGTGGCATGAAAGCCCATAATGCAACTAACCCCTTTGACAGGCACAATATAGTCTTTGTAGGTACCCTCTTGGGCCTTCACGTCAATTTTGGGCATGTCGGTGGCATGGCACGGCACATTCATGGGTTCAAAACGGGTGGAAGTGCCAGGATCACTTGGCGGTTGTCGTGGACCATTCGACTATACTTCTCCTGTCGAGCCTAGATTGCTTCGTAGTCTACAAGGTCTACTGGGTCTTTGGGCAGGTTTTCAAACAGTGTTGAACGCATCCCAAGCATCGCGCCGGCCAGTACAGCTGCCAAACGCATGCACTCCGATGAGCCGTGAATTGCAGTGACTGCAATGGGGACAGGGATGTACAGCTGATCTCCGGGCACAGCCCCAGTTCCTCCGGGGCGATGGGGCCAAGCCACTCTGCAGTAGACCTCGCGTAGCACTGCAATGGCCACCATTTCAGATGCAGCGGTCGCTGAAGGCAAGAATAAAGAGCCTGCAACAACATAGCCACGTGCGAGAAAGGCCATGTACGCAGCTCCGTTCAACAAAGTAATGAACACGAACCCGTAGGTGCACAAGATGTAGCCGACAACCCAGAGAAAGCTCCATCCAAGTTGCCGAGCCGGGTAAGAATGTCGAGTCTTCCAATACTGCAGCATGGCCGTGAGTACAAGGCAGAGGCACGCAGAGGCCAACTCGGCAAAGAACTGTGATGCCCCCGCCTGGGTTGCTGCTGATACTAAGGACATAATGGAGAATAAAAGAGGAAAACCAGATGGAAAACGAGATGATGAAATGGAAGCTTGGGTTTTAAGGGATTGTATAGGGCCATCAGATTATGTGAAACTTGAGTTCCTTTTGCTATCAAAGGGATATGAGGCAAATCAGAGCAACTTAGTGTAACTTAGTTAAAGTCTCTAAGCCCTAAACCCTACTCCCCAAAATCCCCAAGCGCTAAATCCGAAACCATAATCCCTGAACCCTAATATCAAACCCGAAATCCCCAATCCTCATCCCTGAAGCCCAATCTTTTGCAGCAATCTCAAACCAAACCCTAATCCCTAAACCCAAATCCTCTGCATTAATCTCAAACCCTAAACCTCAAACCCTAAACCCTTATCTACCCTAATCCCTAAACCCTAATCCCTAAACTCAAACCCTCAGCCCTAAACCCTAATCTCAAACCCGAAGCCCTAAACCGTAAACCCTAAACCGAGCCGCCAGTTGAAGTGGGATTGTGGCCATCAGAATTGCACAGGTGCCCAGAAGTAGAATGATAGCAGACACGTGCTGTCCTGTAGGCATTTATAGGAGTTAAGGGTTTAGGGTTTAGAGTTAAGGGTTTAGGGATGAGGGTTTAGGGTTCAGGGTTAGGGCTTAGGGTTTGGCATCAGGGCCCTTTAAAGGAGTTATCTGGGAGATCTATACTATTTCGGCAAAACGGAAAAGAGTTCCGTCCTGTAAAGGCAATCCCAAAAACGTCCACAAGGGCATACAGCGCGGCGAAAATGCTGAAAAAAGTTGACAGCACCCTCCACCAAAGGATGTCAGTCTTCCTGGAGCTTTCAAAATGAATGGACAAGGTGAGCCTCGTGCCAAAGGCCAAGGTCTGCAGGCACCCACCTAAAAGCACATAGCGAGTGGAGAGAGCGCCAAAAGCCTGGGTTGCTGTTCAGGACCTGAAACGTTTAGGGTTTGGGGTTTAGATGGGGGTTTGAGGTTTACGATGACCTAAACTAAGTTACCATACTAGGAATACATGGTAGTTAGAAAGTGTGGTCCCCCCACAAACGTAGTTCAAGCTCCTAAACAGCAGGCCAGAAGCTTTCATTTGGTCATCCTTCACATCTACATGGTGGTACCGGGCAAATGACATGTCCGGATTTAGTACCACATGCCCCGACATCTCCACGTAGATACTGCCAGCCTGATCTAAAATGCGAATATGTCTAGGCTGCCCTGCTTCGGATAGGATCTGAAGCTGATGGTTCTCTGGCAGGATGATAGCGTCAGGGCCCACTTTCGTCCAGTGACGGCCGGCTTGCGCACCCAGGTGTCGACCCAAGTCCGATATGACTGAGGATGCGGGTGGGGGATGCCAAAAGACGGAACCTTCCACCTGAGATCGGGTCTTAGAATGTGGGGATGTAAGGCTTTTGCGCCAAGGCCTCCTGGAAGCTTTTGCGAATTCCGACTTGATGGGTCAGGCGGACTTGGTAAGTAGGTTCATAATTAGGAGAACTGGGGTGGCTCATGGCTTTTGGGACCTTGCAAGGGTTATAAGTACATTTGCTAAGTTCCCCTGACCCTCCTAAATCCTAAACCCTATAGTCCCCCTTAAGTACATAGAATATGGGTTTGGGTATATGATGATAAGAGCGCCTCATACCCCATATTCTATCTGCTTAAGGGGGACTATAAACTCTAAACCCTAAACCCCAATCCCTGAACCCTAGACCCGACGGAAACCCTAAACCCTAAACCCTAAGCCCTAAACCCTAAACCCTAGCATGGCTTCCCTGCTGGCCTCCTGACAGAATCCGATAACGGAGACTCGCTTGTCACCTTGGTGGCATCATTTCCAGGGACCTAAATGGGTGATTCCCCTAGACCCTATAGACTAGGGTTTAGGGTTAATCCTAAACCCTAAACCTAAACCCTACTTCTAAAACTTCTGGGCCAGCAGAATGAACCCTATTTTTGGGAACTACCCAATGAGCTATTGATTTTATAGCCCAATATGATGGGCCCCTTTGTTCACCTGTAGGAAGTCTCTCAAATGCCCCCCCCAACCCACGGCGAATGGTCTAAGAGCACAACAGTAACATGCCTTTTTGAGAACATCTTAAATGCCACAAAGCCACACACTGTAACTCTGGTCATTTCTCCAAGTTAGAGTCTGTCTATCTGAATACAGCCACTCCATCCAGGATGCTATAGGGAATCTCAAGACATTCACCCCTCCGACAAATGATGCGCGAAACATCCGTCTGTACTTACTGGACATTGGGTCCTGACTAGGGAATATGATTGGGGACTATACTAAACGACCAGAGGGACGTCTATGTCGACCCCTCATGCTCCTGTGGGAACCCTAATGTCTAAACCCCTCAGTGATCCCAGGTTCCATTGTATTTTCCAACTTCTTTTCCATCTGGCTCTCCACTATAATGTTTTCCCTATATTGGCTCTAGGAGGGCCCCGAGGCCGCTATGACCCCGCTATCATGCCATAGAACCTGATCCTCAAGGGCACCCCAGTTGTGAGACACTCTTGCCGTATATTGAAAAGTATTAGTGCTAGTAATTCCTCAGGGTTATGCTGTAATATGAATGAAAAATAGTTCTGAAGCAGACTACAGCTTGTGGGTTTAGGGTTTGTGTTAAATCCTCTTGGTGGCTTTTGCCATCTCATGCCACTTCCCTTGGTCTGCAAGGAACATCCTGAAAATTGTGGTCTCTAAGCTGGTGGTTCCAAAAAGAAATGATGTACCATTTTGGCTGCTTTCGAGGGGCCCTCACTCTTGGCACCTGCCCAGGATATCGCTGAGTACGGTCCCACACTAGTTTCCTTCTACTACGGCTCCGGATAGGTAGCACGCACCCAAGACGAAAACCCCAAGCCTTAAATCAATGTAATCTATAGTTTGAACTCCTAGTATCCCCCTGAATTACCCCTGTAACACTCCCCTATGTAATCCCGTATATAACCCTTTTAAGCCCTGTAAAGGACCTATCTTGATGCCAGCGGCCCTGTCCTTGTGTCTGGATGTGGCACAGGCGTCCTGCAGGTGGTGTTCGGGGGAAATCTCAGATAGTTCGCCCTAAGCCCTAAACCCTTTGAACTCGGTATCAGGTGGAAAGTTGCCAGGGTTGCCTTACCTAAGGTTTATATAGGGAGACTAGGGTATATGGCTGGATGAGGCTTCTACCGGTAAACCACCCACTCGAAATTTCGAAGAGCTATGGAGGGCTCAGGAATCTTACAGTCCCCCTTGGGTCTATGGTCCCCTTTGAGTTGATAGAATATGGGGTATATGGGGATCTTATTATAATCTACCCAAAGCCATATTCTATCTACTTAAGGGGGACTATAACCCTCAATCTCAAAGGCTAAGCGCCTCCAAAACACCCCATGCGCCCTAACAAGCCAAAGCATTCCCAATCGGTGTTTTGCACTGCGTGCTGAAGGGAAACCCA